CTTTCTGTTAGCCTGTATATATTATAAGCAAGTTAAGACCATTGATATTGAGCGATATTAATGACCATTGATTGTTTCAGATTTGTTGTTGGTGGTGTTATTGTGTGTAGATTTCCCCACTTTTTTGGTGTTTGGTAAAGTGGGATTATCTATTGCCTGTGTTGTTTTAGCATAGTTATCTTTATCGCGTTGGAGTTGTCCTTCCAGTAATGTCTATATGGTGGCATTTATGAATATGTATTGCTTAAATTTGATTTTGTCATGGAATATCTTGTTTTATCCATCTAGAGTGATTGAAAGCTTTTCTGGATACAGTAGTCTGGGCTGGCATCCATGTTCCCTTAATGTTTTTAGGACATCTATCCGGGATCTTCTGGCTTTCAAAGTTTCCATTGAGAAGTTGGGTGTAATTCGGATAGTTCTGCCCTTATATGTTACTTGGCCTGTTTCTTTTGATGCTCTTAATATTTTTTCTTTTTTCTGTAAATTTGGTGTTTTGATTATTATGTGCTTAGGGGAGTTCTTTTTGTGGTCCCATCTACTTGCTGTTTTGTAAGCTTCTTTTACTTCCATAGGCATATCCTTCTTTAGGTCAGGGAAATTTTCTTCTATGATTTTGTTGAATATATTTCCTGTCCCTTTGAGCTGAATTTATTCACCTTCTTCTATACCTATTATTCTTAGGTTTGGTGTTTTCACAGTGTCCTATATTTCCTGGATATTTTGTGTTAAGGATCTGTTGGGCTTGAGATTTAATTTGGTGGATGACTTCATATCCTCTAATGAGTCTTCAACACCTGAGATTCTCTTTTCCATCTCTTGTATTCTATTGTTTATACTTACATCAGAGGTTCCTGATGGTTTATCTAGCTTTTCTATTTCCAGCATCCCCTCATTAGGTCTTTTCTTTATTGTTTCTAATTCTGCTTTCAAACTGTGAACTGTTTGAATCGTTTCCTTCATTTGTTTGGTTGTCTTCTCTTGGTTTTCTTTAGATTCTTTAAGATATTTGTTTATTTCTTGAATTTTTTGCTTTGTCTTTTCCTTCATTTCATGTAATTTTTGCTTGTTTTTTCTTCTATTTCTTTAAGGGATTTTCTTGTTTCCTCTTTAATGGTCTCTATCATCTTCATAAGATAATTTATAAGGTCATCTCTTCTTCATCCTCTGCATTGATCTTTGAAATATTTTGCAGGAATTTAATAGAGATTGCATTAAATTTGTATTTAGCTTCTGCAATACTGCCATTTGTACTTTGTTCATCCTACCTATGCAAAACATGGAAGATCCTTCCATTTTGTGTTATTTTCTTTAATGTTGGCGGTTGCCTTGCTGTATATTGGTTTTATTATGTTTAGGTATGTTCCTGTTATCCGCGATCTCTCCAAGACCTTTATCATGAAAGGATGTTGGATTTTGTCAAAGGCTTTTTCAGCATCTAGTGAGATGATCATGTGGTACTTCTTTTTCACTTTCTTTATCTGGTGGATTATATTGATTGATTTTCATATGTTGAACCATCCTTGCGTTCCTGGGATCAAGACTACTGGGTTTTGGTTGATCATTTGTCTGATGTCTTCTTGCATTTGATTTGCCAGTATTTTATTGAGGACTTTTGCATCAATGTTCTTGAGGGATATTGTTCTGTAGGTCTCTTTCTTTGTTGCACCTTTTGGCTTGGGTACCAAGGTTATTGGAGACCTATAAAAAGTCTGACAATGACCTTTCTCCTTCTATTGTGTAGAATACTTTCAGGAAAATTGGTATTAGCTCTTCTTTGCATTTCTGGTAGAATTCTGCACAGATGCCATCTAGCCCTTGGCTTCTTTTATTTCGGAGACTTGTGATGATTGCTTCTAATTTATTAGGGTGTATAGGTCTATTTATATTGTTTTTCTGTACTTGATTTAATTTTGGTAAATGAAATCTTTCCAGAAATTGTCTATTTCCTTTAGATTTTCAAATTTTGAGAAGTACAGGTTTTCAAAGTATAACATGATGATTCTCTGGTTTTCCTCAGTGTCTGTTGTTCTGTCCCACTTGTATTTCTTTTTTTAACTTGTTTTATTTCAATTAGAAACAAGATTCAATTACATCGCCATCCCAGTTCCCTTCTTCCTCCCTTACTCCCCTACCACACCCCAACTAAAACACTAGCTATCACATATCCTTTCTTCTAATCTACACCCGACTCAACCTTTTTGCTTCCTCATGACCCACTTGTACTACTTATTTTATTAATATGCATGTTTACTCTGCCATTTGTTAAGTTTGGTTAAAGGTTTGCTTATCTTGTTGATATCCTGGAAGAACCAACTCTTTGTAACATTGATACTTTTTATTGGTTTCCTAGTTTCTACTTTATTGATTTCAGCCCTCAATTTGGTTATTACCTGGTGTCTACTCCTCCAGCATGTGTTGGCTTCTTTGTGTTCTTGATCTTTCGGTTGTGCTGTTAATATTCTGGTGTGACTATTCTTGAGTTTCTTCATGTGTGCACTTAGTGCTATGACCTTTTCTCTTAGTGATGCTTTCAATGTGACCAAAAAGTTTGGGTATGTTGTATCCTCATTCTCATGAATTCTGGGAAATCCTTAGTTTGTTTGTATACTTCATCTTTGACCCAGGAATGGTACAATTAGGAATTATTCAATTTCCCTGATTTTGTAGGGTTTCTGCAAATTGTGTGCTGAATTCTAACTTTAAAACATGGTGGTCTGATAAGATACCTGGGTTTATTTTAACTTTTTGTATCTATTGATGTTTGCTAAGTTGCCAAGTATGTGGTCGATTTTAGAGAAGGTTCCATTTGGTGCTGAGAAGAATCTATATTCTTTTGTGTTTGGATGGAATGTTCTATAGATGTCTGTTAAAACCAATTGGGAGATAACTTCTTTTAGTCCCTTTGTTTCTTTGTTAAGTTTCTGTCTGGTGTTCCTGTTTAGTGGTGCAAGTTGGGTGTTGAAGTCTCCCACTACAATTGTGTGGTTTTATGTGTGATTTGAGTTAATAATTTTTTTTACAAACATTGATTCCTTTGTATTTGGGGCATGGATGTTCAGAATTGAGACTTCATCTTGACAGATTTCTCCTGTGATGATTAGGAAGTGACCTCCTAAATCTCTTTTTCTTGATTTTAGTTTAAAGTCTAATTTGTTAGGTATTTGGATTGCTATTCCTGCTTGTTTCTTGGGTCCATTTGATTGGAAAATCTTTCCAAACCCTTAACTGTGAGGTACAGTCTGTCTTTGAATTTGAGGTGTATGCAGCAGAAGGCTGGATTCTGTCTTCATATCAGTTCTGGTAGCCCGTGTCTTTTTATAAGTGAAGGAAGTCCATTACTATTGAGGGATACTAATGACCATTGATTGTTCATTCTTGTTTGTTTTGGATTTGTTGTTGACAACATGAGGAATTTTTTTGTTGCATTATTGTGGGCAATGGGATCCATAAGTTTCTGCAATGACAAATATTTCCAGTGATAAACTGATTTTCTATATGAGTACCTTTCATCATTGTGCTTTGTCAACACTGATTTTAGGCTTAATTTGATTGGAGAATAGTAAATATTGGAGCATGGTATTTTCCTCTTTTGTTCCAGCCCTATCAAAAAACATAGCATTAAGAAGAGCACATTTCCCTGGGTTAATTGCATGTCTTGCAGCAGAAAATATCAACACTCAGAAATATACCCTAAAGAAAACAACCCAAGATTACAGACTTACTAGGCTCTAATGTGGTAGGGGCTGGGCATCAAGATTCAGGCATTAATGGCTTTAGTAGCCTGAGAAAGTTATTCCTATTGCTTCTTCTGTAAAGATGTAGATAGGGGTGAGTAAAGCTCTTGAAATTCATTTCTTGTTTTCATTATTTCCAGAAAATACCTCATTGAAATATCATAAGCTACTTTTAGAGTATTTCTTCCCTCTTCAATTCCCTTAATATTGAACATCTCCTAACATAAGGACTCAAAGACTTGTTTGCATTGTAATTCTGGATTACAATTTTATATCCAAAATATATTAAATATCATGTTTATAAATGTTTGTTTCCTCCAGCCATTAGAATGCACAGAGTAGGAACATTATAACCTTCTAGTTGTCCTTACAGACATGTACTCATCGATGAGCTTTCCTATTATTTTGTCTTGCTCTTACACTCTCTCATCTCCTCTGAGATTGTTATCATTGGATCATTGTTTTAACACATTGAACATTTTAGGGCATACCGTCTTGAATTAGACTCATTTGTTGGTTTATCTGGAGTTATTGACATAAAAACATGCCATCTCATTATCCAATGTTTGTTTAAATATAATTGATTATTTTAACATTGTACCCTCCTAAGTATTTTCTCTTCTGTATTTAATTCTCAGCTTCCTCGTTCTGTGTGCAGTGAGAACTGTGTTCCTGGATTCAGAAAATCGCCTCAGGAAGGCAAAGCTATCTGTTGCTATGATTGTACTCAATGTCCAGACAATGAAATTTCCAATGATACAGGTAATTGTTAGTATAACTGGGATATTTCCCAGGTCTCCACAGTGTTCTGCAATGTCCAAGGAGATAGAAACCTGTGATGGAGGAACAGAGGCAGAACTTTTCTTTCATTTAAAAGTAAAAAGGGTTCACTTCACTGTGTCATCATTTTGAATTACAGTTTGGTCATTGAAATTCATAATTGATCAATGTTGTTTGGTCTCTTTAGTCATTGGTTTTTGTAGAAAACCACTTTGTGCATTCCAGAGTTGTCTGTTTCATTTTGTCATAGCATGTAACAGACACAGTATAAATATCAAGTTTCCACGATTTTGCAAGCTTGCACACATGTAATGGTTTATCCTTATCATACTTACTTTCATAATTTGAGTCGTGGCTCTGGACTTGTCATTATATAAGAAGTGTTTTTGTTTTAGCCATGTTTATATTTATAAATGTTTTAAATATGATTTATTCATGTTTTATCTCTGAATATTTTGCCTGCATGCATGTGAACCACAGGCATCTCACCTTGCTAAATAACTTTTTCCATTACCTTCATGAATGTCTTTCCTTCTTTGTTATCCTCTATCTCAATATGTGTACAGGAAGCATCATACTGCAAGACATCTAAGGAAAATGAGATAACTCTACAACATAGGGATTAAATGCGTAAAATAGTTATGGATGGCAAATTACAATTCAGTGTAGTATGTCACAACCTATCATGAGAATACTCTGTTGAGCAGAATTTTTAACCAAAAATTGTCTATGTATTATTAGTTGAATCTACATTTGTATCATTTCTTTTACCTGTTAAAAAAACCTAAAATGCTAACATTACCATTTATACAATTGACTGTATTTTGTATAATGTGTTAATGGAAGCAGTATTGAACATAGACTAGGAAAATGATAGAATGCTTGTGAATACTAGTTGAAAATGCATCATCACTTCCGTTAATGCTAGTGTTGAGATTGATCTGGGCAGTGTTGAACTCTCCTATTTTCAGAGAATCTCAGAACTAAAGTGCAAGGATCGCTTTTTCATGGCAATTTAGGCACAATAGAGGAATCCTGTGTAAAAATACATCCAAGGACCAGAAAATATGCAAGGCATAATTGAAAATAGTGAATCTGAGGGGAACACACAGACACACTGTTGAATAAGGAGAGAAACCCAGGGAAGAATTCCCATCATTAAGATTTATATTTAATGACATTCTTCATTTATTAATTTGAGTATTTTAAATCAATGCACTTCCCCCAAATACTCAGAGATGTAAAACTTACTTAATAAAATATTTTTTCTTTTTAAAAAATATTTATTAAAGTTTTGTTTTAATTTTTTATTAATTATATATACAGTGTTCTGGCATGTAGATGGTTGTGAGCCACCAAGTGGGAACTGGGAATTGAGCCCAGGCCCTCTAGAAGAGCAACCAGTGAGCTTAATCCCTGAGCTATCTATCCAGTCCCCTAATGCAACATTTTCTAATTTGGAGATTCCTATTATGTACCTACTTTCAAAATTCATATGTCAATAAAGGGTAAACACAACATCAAAGCTTATTTTGCATATAGATGCTTTGTGTACATTAGTGTCACGATAAGTTCAGGCACAAGTTACATGTAAACATTGGAGAAAACCTGAGATGTCAATGTCAAACCATGAATGGTTACAATTATAGAATATACTTCAAAATAGTTGCAGAAAGAAGCTAAAACATATAAGATAAATGGTTAAAAATAGAGAATCTTAAACTTCAAATCATATATAACATCTTTAAAAATTACATACTTAAATATCCATGAAGTATTTTGCAATCTCATAAACAAGTTCTCTTTACTACATTAGACATTGTGTTATGGCTATGATGAATCCATGCTCCATTAGAATCCTGTAGCAAGTAAATAGATGGGAAACTGAAGATTTAGGGTTATGTGAAGGTACACAATAAAACTTAAAAATGAGGGTTTTGAGAAGGCACACAATAAAAACACCTTTGAGATCTTGTTTGGAGGTTCCATCATGGGAATTGAGCTACATTTACACCCTTGACCAAAGACTGGTCCTCCTCCAATTGGGGAAGATCCTCCTCTTTGACCAAGGGTACACCTTTGGGAAGGATGCACATGAGGTTGGGAGAGTGGAAGGAGCCACTCTCCTAGCCAGCCAAAAAAGATGAATTAATCCTGGCTTGGAAGCAGACACTGATGTTGAATCCAGGGCACCATCAAACCCTCATTGTAAGGAGCCTATTAGAGACCACAGATGTGGTGAGTGGTCACAGGTAGACACAGCACCTCCTGAATGTATGGTTGACATCTTGAGATGTTTACCGATTAGTGAGTGTTGAAGCAGGCCTGTCAGTACAGTCCAACAGAACTTCACTAAAATTACAATCAAGTGCAGTGCTATCATCAGACGATATAAACTTAAATAGATATAAAACTTTATGCCACGTTTGTCCTCTTTTAATTTCAATACCTAAACTTTTTCAAATTTTTAAGAAATCAATTTGAAAATGGCCAAATAGTATGTAGATTTTACGGCATATGGCTGAATCATTTTAGGACATAAAAGTATTATTTCAGTTTAGTATCTGTTTTTAGGTAGCTTATGAAGATTTTGATGGATAACTATGGCAATAATACTTTCTCAATGAACTCATACTCTGTCTGTACAGGGTTATCATACATTTTCATCAGGTAGTTATTTTCTTGTTTCTCTGACTAAAAACTCGACAAATTGTCTCTTACTATGAGAGTACAGATCTCACAGCTGCAGGAGCATGAGCTGCTAGTCATAATGCTACTGTAGTCAGGAAGCACAAAGAGAGATGCATGACTTTTGCACCACTTGCTTGGTTTCTTTTCTTTAGCCTGGGACACTAGAACCTGGAGTGGTGCACCAACTCAGGGTGGGTTTTTACACCTTCCACCGTAGTGAGAGCCCCTCAGTTATAAACTTTCAGAGACTCACTCACATAATGGTCTCCTGGGAAATTTTAAATTCCATCAAAAATTCTAATGATCTGAACTATTCGGGTATAAGTTCACTGAGCAAGAAAGGCCTTGTTTTCATTTTGGGAAAACAAGCATATGAATTGTGTGTGTGTGTGTGTGTGTGTGTGTGTGTGTGTGTGT